AAATTTTTAAAATTGCCTCCACTACAAAATGACGTTGTTATGTTAAATATAACGGTTGACTATTTATCTTATTAAATCAGAAATATTAATTTGTACCTAACATTTATTTTGTATGTTATAAAATTATATACATCATTTTATAATTAAACCTACAAAATGACGTTGTTATGTTAAATATAAGGGTCGACAAATATCATCTATCTTATTAAATCAGAAACACTAAGTTGTACGTAACATTTATTTTGTACCTAATATTGTTTTCTTTATATTACTATCCATGTTTCCAAATAGTATATTTATTTTTTTATACTACTATCTATGTTTCCAAAAAATATACTCATTTATGTGTATTAGTATCCATGTTTCCAAACAACAATAAATTAATCTTATTTCCAAACAATACAAAATATTAGATCATACCCTTTTTTAATAATTTCACACAATTTTCTTTCAAATTATTTATATAAATTTAAAAAATAAAATAATATATAAAACAATGAAAATAAACTTATTTTATAGGTTTAAATATTACATATCAGTTATCTATCATCTCAATCGATTAGTTTCAGATTTTAGTGATTTTTTTAAATATGAATATTTTTAAAAATCAAAATTGCATTATCGAATCACCGGTTTAACCGAGGTACGGATTGAATTTAAAAATACTGATTTAAACGCAAAATTACTTAAAATATATAAATTCTTTCAAATTAACAAAATATTCGTTAAATTATTTATAAAATTTTTCATCATAAAATATTCCGCGTTTGCAAAATTAAGAGCAAGGTTAAGTTTGAATTTGACATAACTTATAAAATAAAGGTTAATGCCAAGAATTCTAGAAATTTGTATATTATTTTTAAAATTTTGGATAATTATTTTTAACGCAAATAGTTAAGTTTTAATTTGATTTTGCACTTCGAACAAACGTATAGAATTAATATTGCATGATTACATCTACATAATACATTTCTTGACGTTATTAATTTAAAATACAGTTTTGATGTTATTCTTTAAATAAAATCGAATTGGATAAACTTGAAACTATATAAATTAAATTATATAGATGTTGGAATTGTGAAAACCCATGTCCAACTTTATCTTATCTTATTAGTACGATATTGGTTTCCTTCCCAAAAGGCCTCGTATTATTAGAGTTGGAGTTCTCTTTATATATGAGACATTCATTGTCTAATTCTCCAATGTGGGAATTTTTTTATTATCTCACATTCTCCCCTTAAACTAAGGACCACATTCATCTCATGTACTTTGACTTCCTTTGAGAATGTGTTTCCCACAATATCACAGGTTCCATGATCTTCTGACAGTTTATGCCACGACCTCCTTTTCCTACTTGGAGGATTCCCATTCATATCTTAAATGGTACTTTGGTCTTCTTGCATATTTTCGTCAAACCGCTCTAATACCAATTGTTGGAATTGTGAAAGCCCATGTCCAACTTTATCTTATCTTATTAGTACGATATTGTCCATTTTGGGCCTACGAGACTGGCCCGCATGAATTTACTTTTGATTTCTTTACCAAAATGCCTCTTATTATTAGAGTTGAAATTCTCTTTATATATTAGACATTCATTGTCTAATTCTCCAATGTGAGACTTTATTTATTATCTTACATAGAATACATCCGAAAAATAAAATATATCCGCGCTAGTGTTAGTTAAAAGAAAGAATATCATTCTAGGGCAGTTTCATGTTTTTTATATCACAAATAGGCAGTTTGTGCTACCAAGGTAGTTTATCTTAACTTTCTCAACTTTGTTACCTAATTCTTAACCATCTAGTTAGCTAACCAGTAAATACACATTTGGTTTTAGCGGGAATAACCTCACACATTTTTCTCTCATATTTTCCCTTTTTTCTTTTGTCTTCTTCCTCTTTCATTCTCTATTTTTTTAGAAAAATTCAAATCTGATTCTTAAATTTCTTTTCTCAAATTTTTTTTGATGAAATCGTTCTTTCTATTATTTGATCTATCTTTTAAGATCCGTGAAGATATATTTCCGATGTTGGTGTACACCTTATCTAATGTACACACGTTATTTTGTGTACGTTTTTTTGACATACACACGTGTACATTCAAAATGAACCAATATATGTGAATAAGTTATGCACATAAGGTAGACTATTGATTGCTTACTAAAAAAAATACAAACTACATAACAATAAGTGTACATATGATTTTGTGTGTTATTCATATCTAATGATTTTTTGCTTTGATTTTAGTTCATTTAATTTATTTTCCAATACACTTTTTAGCTTTGAAATTTTGGAGGTAAAAATGAAAACAATAAAACAAGGATCACCGTGCAATTAAGGAGAAATACTAAAATCAATAATCAAAGAGTTTGTTGGTTATTTTGTGTACACTTTGTGACATGTACACATATACTTCGAAAATAGACCAATATATGCGAAGAAGTTGTACACAACTAGGTGAATTGATGGTAACTTACTAAAAAAACAAAATACATAATCAAATAAATCAAATCGAACTGAATATGGTGTACACAAAGGATGTGCATTTTGTAAAACCTTTGTAATATAAAGCCACAATTTTGATGTGCAACAAGCATATTTCAAACATATGAGTACATAAATAATATATAATCTTGTACATAACCACAATTGTACACATGTACAGTCATTAATGAAGAAGATGAAATAATTACGATAATGCCATTCATGAATTAATATTAAAAAGTGTACACACGGCTATGATGTATATGTGTACATATTGTGCATCATTATGGCCACTAAAAATATATAATTTATAGTATCCATGTGGACAATGCAAAATGTGTTCATGAAGTAAGGTCTCGACATGGATACTCATATTCGTCTCTATATTTGTAACTACAAACAAATTGTGTAAATAACATACACATGAACATTTTGAAACATGGTGAAATCTTATTCTTTTTTATCATATATTAATTCATTTAAAATATATGTGTACACAGTAATGATCATGTTAGTCATTTGCATGTGAAAATGTACACATATAATCTTGTACACATGTGAAGCTGTACACATGTACACATAATTTATGTACACACCTTTTTCACTAATGGCAAAATCGTAATTAACCCATCTTCTACCTATTTTAGGGTTTCTGTAAATTTTTGACGGCCGAGCACCATGTGTCTCCCTAAATCATCTGAATTTGGTGTGTTTTCATGTTATTTTGGTAGCAAAATTATAGACCCGCTTGCAAATAATCAATTTTCAAACTAAAAAGGATAATTTGATGAATCATTTTTCTTAAGAGAGAATAACAATTTGGGTCACATTTTGACTTTGTCCAACAGAATAAGACACTTTGGGCTACTGGGGCACATTATCGATGGCAAAAGACCAGCCTGCCCCTAATTTGGACAACGAGATGGGTTTTAGTCAGATTGTTTAGTTAGGTTTTTTTTTGGGTTTGAATTTCAAAAGCTGGAACCTTTTATTCCTCGTGTTTCTGCATTTGACCTTTTTAGTCGTTTCATTTTCTTTCCCCTAGCTTTGGCTTTATCGCCGGATAAACTTGGAGAGCAAAACGCGGAGGTGACGATTTCAGATTTGTGAAGATGTCTACAAGAAAAAGAAGAGAAGGAAAAGACCCGATATCCGGTGAGTCGTGTTTATGTTGAGAGTAAATTTCTTGGGTTTTGGTTATAATTGTTAGATCTGAAAATCATTATTTACGGTCTGATGGTTTGAGTAATGTTTCTGACGAGTCTCTAATATTATAACAGAGGAGGAGAACCCCGTGAGCGTGCCGGATGAGAGGCTGCCTCCTAGGTTATTTGCTACGGACCAATACCCTAGCCGGAGGCTCAATGTCTACTCTTCGCTAGAGCTACTATTGGTTGTCAGAGATGTTTTAAGGGGAACCCCTGAGATGGAGAAGCTTCTTAGGTCTTGTTTTGGAAATTTATACAAGTTACCCGTTCGCAGGTGCAGCTACTCGTCGGTTATGGTTCACGCGATGCTAGCACGGCAGGTAGTTACGAAGAAGAAGTATGAACTGTGGCCCGTTTTTGGTGGTAACCCATATAGATTTTCATTGGTTGAATTTGGGAATGTGACGGGTTTGCCATGTGGGGAGTTTGAGAATGGTTATGTTGTAGATTTCCAGCCCAATTACAAGGAGGAAGACTATTTGTACTGGGACAAGCTGTTTGGAGGTAGACGTGACATTACAATTCCTGACGTTGTGAAGATGGTAACTGAAGACAGGACACTGTCAGCTAGCAGGAGATTCAGGTTGTGTTTGATAATACTTGTTGATGGTGTACTTATAGCATCTACCCAACCAGCTAGGCCAACTGTGAAGCATGTGAAGTTGCTTGAGAATCTTAGGAGTTTCTTTTCTTTTCAGTGGGGGCGTGAATCGTTTTACTGGACAGTGACTACAATGATACCTGGGAAGAAGATACTGGGGAAATGTGAGGATCCAGAGGCTGATTTTTGTGTTAAGCTGAGGCAGAAAACTAAGAAAATGTCAGGTTTGCCTTTGGCTCTACAGTTGGTTGCTTATGAAGGGATCCCACAGTTGTTGGCCAGGTTGGGAGGGAATGATGATCTAAAGATCTTAGATTGTGAGAGATTACCACAGCACACTGGGCTAAATCTTGTTGATGTTTTGGAGGCCGAGCATGACCATCAGGTAAAAATCATCACTTTTAAAAAGTTGGTACACGTGTACAGCTTCTACCGTTGGAAAAAACTTGTACCGGTGTACACTATAAATCTTTTGTTTTGTTTGTATCTGTGCAGTTAATTGTGCAGCCGCGGATGGATGTTGGGCCGGACAAACCTGATGGGTGGGGTGAATGGGATGATGAGATTTTTGACCGCAGAGTGAGCTACATGGTGTCGCTTATTGACGCTGGTCACAAGTTCAAGAAGTCTGATTGGGGTGGAGGGGACGGTGGAGAGCCTGTGTACAACCACGAGGTGCAGAAGGCAGCTAAGAAAAGGAAGAGGGATATGGCGCAGTCGAGGAAAGCTGGTCAATGCTGTCCTGTTATGAAGCAAAAAAGAGTGAGCCAGTACTATGTGCGTGAAGAGGCTGTTGATAATGAAAGAATCATGAAGTTGGAAACCCGTTTAGGAGAGATGGAGAAATCTTTTGCTTGGATGAAGAAGAAGTTATTACGGCGCAAGAGGAATGGAGTTACGCCCAAGAAGGGTGTGTTATACAGTGGAGAATCCAAGAAGAAAAAGAAGAAGAAGATTGTGCAGATGCCACCGGTTAGTAGTTTTCCTGTTGGTAACAATGAAGTGTTTGATGACGATTTCGTTGGTAAGAGCTCATCAGATGGCGGAAGGGATGTTGGAGAAGCCGGTGATAACAGTGATATTCCAGGCGATGGGAAGCTGGTGCCAGGCAGTGGTGTTTCGGAGGTAGATGTTGAGGCTGTGGAGGACTTTAGAGATGCTAAGAGTGATGGTGATAGTTTGCTGGGAGAACCGGAAGCTGATGATAATGGTGAGTCAAATGAGATGGAGGGTTTGGAATTAGACGATGATGATAGTTACTCTGAGCAACCTGAAGAAATGCTTGTACCGTTGAAAGAAGGAGATGGTGTACCGCTGCAGTGGGTGGAGAAAAGTTTGAAGGGTCACGGTGGAGCTGTACTCTATAGAGCCACAACAAGCAAAACGTTTTATGTAACTGAGGATGATGTAAGTATTTTGTTTTAATATTTATTTCGATTTGTTTGCAAAGTCTTCATTTGTTGTTTGTATTATGTTTTTGTGCAGGGGAGTACAAGTGTTGGAGACGAGGTGAAGAAGTGTGGCATTAGTATAAATGAAAAGGTGATTTAAGTTTCTGGATGCTTAGTATACATTGTTGTAAGGGTTGATTTGATTTTTTTTGGGGTGCACAGGTCAGCAGTGGTGGGGAGGAGACTGCAAATTCGTTAGTATCAAAGAGCATGGCGGAAGAGAGTGAAGTGAACATGGTTTGTTTTTTGGTTTGTTCCATTTTTTTTTTTGGTTTTAATTTCTTTTCTGTTTGTTTTGTTTTATACATTTCATATTTGGGTATCAGGATTTGGGTGGGCTGAACAAATTGGTGGGTGCACTTGTTAAGGAGCATGGGAGTAAGTTTGGGGAATTTAAGGGTGGCCAAGGGATTGGGCATGTTAGCGAGGTAAGGATGCTGGTGGTAATGGTTGTTTTTAACTTGTACGAGTAACATCTGTTGTACGAGTGTACAAGTGGTATATGTTGTATACGTAAATGTGAGTCTAGTTGTACGCGTGTACGAGTAGTAGATTGTAATGTACGATTAAAGTGGCCGGATTGATGATTAAGGTTTTAAGGGTTTGTTATTTGTCCACAGCTGACGGGTGAAGCGGCTAATGAAGATGTTGAGGCTGATGTAGCTGATAGGGCTGGTGCGGAGGTTGAAGAACAGGAGTTGGATGGAAAAGTAGCTCAGTCCACACCACGCCCCTCTGATAGGAGTGCTGTGGAGGGTGAAGGTGTGGGGTCTGATAAGGTAATCTGTATAAGTGGATCGTGTTTTGCAGGAATGTACTTTTTCTCGTTGTTTTTGTTAATTTTTGTTCTGTGTTGTTTTTGAAATCCAGGTTGATGCATCCTTTTCTGGGGAGGTGAGGACTGTTGATGAGTCGCATATAAGTGGGAAAGAAATGGTTACCTATGTGAGTGACTCATCCCCGTGTCCAAGGAGCAAGAAGCACAGGCCAATCGAGTCAGAAGCAGACTTGGCGGCTTTGTTATTGGCGAAAGCCCCATATAGCTTAGAACAGATTGTTCCAGCTGAGGAGGATGTTGATTTTTGCTATTTCAAGCAGGTGTTGCTAGCAAACCCGAAAGTGTAAGTAATAACATTTGAGAATGGTTGATGTTTAATGATGTTGTACTAAAACCTTGTTATTTATTTGTGCAGGTTGCATTTGGGGGCAGGCAAATATGATTTGGATAATGAATTTTTCCTGGAGTTGGCAACACCGAGAAAATGGGTGTCAAGCAAGGTATGGTATAGGTAGCTTAAATGGCTTCCATAACGTTTTGGTTATTTGTAATTTTTTTTCTGTGTTTTGGCAGCATATGGAAGTGCTGGTGGACTATATCAGTGAGAAGCATGCTGATGTGTTGAAGGAGAACAGAACAATGTTTGTATCACCTTGGTTTATCTCACAGCTGGGTGGGAAATCGCGGGCATTTAAGGCAGCCACATATAAGGGGCGAGTTTTTTCTGACCCGAAGCTTGCTGGTTATTTAACTGAAGAAGGGAAGAAACTTGGGGTGGACATAGACTGGGTGTACACGCCTATGTTCTGGGGGACCAATCATTGGGTTGGGTTGCGCATTAGTATTACCGAGTGGAGTGCGCTTTTCTATGATCCAGACCGAAGTCTTAGAGAACTGGATGATGTCATGGAGTTAATGACACCAATAGCTCAGATGATACCTTACATAGTACGGAAAGCCTGCCCCGCTGAGTATCTGCAAGGGAATGGGGTTGTACCTTTTGGTGTTCAGTTGATGGCTGATGGTTACCAGAACACACGCAGTGGTGATTGTGGGCCTGTGGCTATGAAGTTCTTAGAGTTGGCTGCAACAGGTGTTGAGGAACCAGATGTGGAGGACATCACTGATGAGTTGGTTGACATTTTCAGGAAACACTATGCTATGCATGTGTACAAGGATTTGGTTGTACCGTTGTACATGGGATGAACTAGTAGGGTTGTACATGTGTTGTTTTTTGTTTTTTGTGATCTCGGTTGTTTCGGGGGCAGTGTTTGTACTATTTTCTGTTGGTCTTGACTAGTACTATTTGCTGTAGTAGTTTCAACGTCGAGGTGGCAGGGGGGATTGTTTTTCATTTACTTGGTTGTGTGATGGTATTGTAATGTAAAACCTGGATAAAGAAGCTTGTAAGTTGGTACTTTAAAATCTGTTTATCTTCTAAAGTAGTTTGAGTGAATTGATTGTATTGTCTAAAGTAGTGTGTGTACATGGGGACATGAGAAAGAGTTTCTTAGATTAGTGAATTTTACATGGATAACAGGATTGTACCAAAAACAGGTTAGTCTGTTGGACCTCCTTTGTACAGGAAAGTTGATTGTACAGACTAATAGCAAATTTTCTGTTGGTCTTGACTAGTACTATTTGCTGTAGTAGTTTGAACGTCGAGGTGGTAGGGGGGATTGTTTTTCATTTACTTGGTTGTGTGATGGTATTGTAATGTAAAACCTGGATAAAGAAGCTTGTAAGTTGGTACTTTAAAATCTGTTTATCTTCTAAAGTAGTTTGAGTTAATTGATTGTATTGTCTAAAGTAGTGTGTGTACATGGGTACATGAGAAAGAGTTTCTTAGATTAGTGAATTTTACATGGATAACTGGATTGTACCAAAAACAGGTTAGTCTGTTGGACCTCCTTTGTACAGGAAAGTTGATTGTACAGACTAATAGCAAATTAGTAGTTTGCAAATGATTGTACACTATAATAGGGTAGCAGGAAATTGAATTGTTAGTTTTGAAATCTAAGAGGTTGATTGATTAGAAACTGATGGTGAGAAACATTTGACAACATAGTCTAGTTAAGCAGAACAGTTGTACATAACTTATAGACAACAAAAGGTACAACAAACATGTTTTTCAGGCTTCTGAGATTAGGACAGGAAGAAGACACTATGTACATAACTTATAGACAACAAAAAGTACAACAACACAGGCAACCATGTTTTTTAGGCTTCTGAGTTCCATGTGGGCATCTTTAATTTCCTGCTCGATTCCAGAGATCTCGTTTTTCAGCGTGCTAACCAGACTGCAGCAAGCACGGTTTTGAAGTGTAAGATTCTCGATCTGAGATTGACAGACCTGGACGATTTTTTCCGTGTCAACTGAAGCCATTTGAAGACCATCGATATTGAACTTGATGTCCTCGATTTCCTCAACCATACAAAGATCCGTCCATTTGAATAAGTGGTTAGGATTGTTCTACAAGAAGAAAGAAGGATAAGAAGCAGAGATAATGTGAAGGTTGAGAAGGTCAATGCGTTAACGTAATTGAGAATACCAAAAAGTGAGAACTGTGAAATTGGTACAACTGTGGAAAATGTTTACCATCGAAGACATACCTCATTGCCATATGGACAACTGTGAAATAAGCGGCCAGGGTTGGTGGGGGTTTTAGATGTGCGGCGGGAAACACGGGCGCCACATGGGCAGTGCGTGGGGAATCCTCTGTCTGCCATGTAGAGTGTCCCTTTTGGTGAGAGGATGGGGCTTTTTTTTTTAAAGGAAGATGAACCCTAATTTCAATTGTGTGTGCCGCAGCCTTATTTATTAGGGTAAAGAAGGGGTTGTAAGTGGTCTAGCAAAACGGTGTCGTATTATTAGAAAGACCCCGTTTTGTACGGTTAATTGGCGTACATGTCGGTGTATGTAAAAGGTGTACACGTGTACAGTAAATAGATAGTGCAACGCCAAACTGGCTAACTTTGGGGGGAATTATAGCCAATAAGAAATAAGCGTTATACTTCTCCCAAAAGGATCAACCAATACATGTTCGTAATGTTTTGACATGAAAACACAAAAAAAAAACAGAAAGGTACAATGAAGAAGCTGATCCTCGGTGAATTCGCTATCCAAAAGATGATGCCCGTGGATATAAGATTCACCACAGTCAGATGGGCCTAACGCAGCGAGTGCGATTGTGACCAGTGCCACCACAACGTCCACATTTGTTTGGGATTGTTTTTGTTTTCTTGGGAGGCTGATCAAATCAGATAGGAAAAAGGTAAGTACAAAAATGAATATGACAATAGTCTATGAATAGGAGGGAATGAAGTTACCTGAACCTCTCCTGTGGAAGGAATCCTTTTGTCCTTAGGTCTGCCAGAGGGGCGGCGGGTTTTGGGAGGGCAAATGATGAGATCTTCGATATGACGGGGTATTTGTATGTCTCCTAAAGGAGCCTCAGGGGAGACAACACCAGAGTAAGTCTCTCTCCAGTGCTGTGTCTTGTAGAATTCAGAAACCAATTGGTTGTAGGGGAGACCAATTGAGTCAGCAGCCAAAAGAGCATGTCCACATGGGATTTTAAGCTTCTGGAACACTTGACATGTACAAGCTTTTGTATCCAAGTGGACAGTGTTGTGGTGACCAAAAAGGCCCCTAATTGAATAGCTCCATTCCTTTGTTTGAGAGATTTTGCTGCCTTTAGTTAGTCTGATGTGAGTCTGCATTACCTTATCAACCTCTGGTGTGAGAAAACCTCTGTGTTTAGCTGATTTTGTCCTCCTGGCTGAGAACCAGCGGGTGAGCATACGTTGAAGGAACATGAACATTTCGACAATCGGAGAAGCTCTGGATTTGGAAATAGCATTGTTCAACTGCTCTGCAACGTTGCTGGTGAGGAGATTGTATCTGTTACCAGGGAAGTAAGTGCGGGACCATTTTGCAGTGCCAATGTCTTCAAGATATTTGAAGCAGGCTGCATTAGCTTGTTTTATTTTACCAAAGTTTTTATCAAAATCAGAACGGCGGAAAGAGAAGGCAGCCTCGCAAACCATCTTAGCAAGGCCCTTGCTTTTGTATCGAGATACAACATTCCTCATGAGGTGAACAATACAAGCACCAT